GTCCAAAGTTCAAAGTCTTTTATGAGATTCATGCAATCTCTTAACTATAATTCACTATAAAATCAAAATCAAAAAACAGATCACATACTTCCAACATATAATAGCACAAGATATATATTACCATTCCAAAATGTAGGGAAGGGAACATAGTGAGGAAATATTGGACCAAAGCAAGACCAAAAACCAGCTGCGCAAACTCCAAACTCTGCATCTTCATGTCTGATGTCAAAACACTCTCCACATCTCCAACTCCATTCAGTTTTGTTGACTGCAACACACTTCTTTCTCTTGGGTTGGTTCCATTTCCCATTAGTAGCTCTCCTCAAAGGTATCCCATGACTTTGGCATCTCTAACATCTTGGTGTCTCCAAGGCAATACAGGCTTCAACTTCACAGCTTCACAAAATAGCCTCTCTACTAGATCTCTATTTAGGAAGACCCCTGACACATGCCTGGCCTCAGCAACTTTATTCCATAACTCTTTTATTCTATTCGTAACTCTAAACCCAGAACCACATGGCCAAAGCTGCCAAGTTCTACTGCTTACTGGGGCTGGAACATGGCCACCTCATTCAATTATATCTTCACCAGCTTTCTGTGTTTCTTTACTGCCTAAGCTTGGCTGTCTTAAAACTTGTTCTGTAGACCAAGCTGGCCTCAAACTCAGAGAACTGCCAGGCTCTGCCTTCCCAATGCTGGGATTAAAGGTGTGCCCCACCACACCCAGCTCTAAGCTTTTCTTTAGTTCCTTTTCACAAGCTGAAAACTTGGCTGGTTGGGATCTTGTCCTGTTACCACTCCCTTTATTCCATTTCTTAATCCCTTCATCTCCTTGAACAGAGAATTTAGCTCTATACTACTTCCCCTCTTTTTCTCCTCAAAATTTTCATTTTGTAATTTACCCTTCTCATCTTGCTCCTTTTAATTATAAATCTTCATTAGAGTTACCACTAAAAAAAAAACCACACAACAGAGTCTATACTAGGCTGTTTTGATATTTCTTCTGCAGAATTATCTAAAACTCTTCACTTTAGTCTCAGTCAGACTCTTCAGACAAGGGCAAAAGGCAGCCATTTGCTTCACCAAAATATCACAAGAATGATCTCTAGGCAACATGCTAAAGTCCTTCTCCTCTGAAACCTCTTGAGTGAGCACCCCACAGTTCATCCAATCACACTCAGCACCACTGTCTTCCATGCTCCTACTAGTGTGACCCATTAAGCAGTGCTTAAAGCATCCCACCGCTTTTATAACCTAAAGTACCAAAGTCCAACTCCAGACACAAACATGGTCAGGCCTATCACAGCAGCATTCCAGTCCCTGGTACCAACTTCTGTCTTAGGGTTTTTTATTGCTGTGGAAAGACAACATGAACATGCAACCCTTATAAGGAAAACATTTAACTGGGGTGGCTTGCTTACAGTTTCAGAGGTTCAGTCCATTATTATCATGGTGGGGAGTATGGCAAAATGCACGCAGATGTGGTGCTGAAGGAATAGCTGAGTGTCCTACATCCTGCAGGCAACAGGAAGTTGATTGACTGTGACACTGAGCAAAGCTTAAGCAGAAGACCTCAAAGTCCACCCATACAGTAACACATTTCCTCCAACAAGGCTCTCTTCAGCACAACCACCCCCCCCCGCCCCCCGCTGCTGCCATCTCCCTGAGTTTTCTTAATAGAAGTTTTCAAAACATTCCCAACAATTCTCTGAACTTCATGGGAATCTATAGTAATCTCACTTTTTTTTGTTTTTAGTTCCATTAATTTGAAACTTTTGTCTCTTATATTTGGTTAGCCTGGCTAGAGGTTGTTTCTTTCTTTTTATTTTATTTTGAAATAATTTATTTATTCTTATTTTATGTGCACTGGTGTTTTGCCTACATGTTTGAGGGTGTCAGGTCTTGGAGTTACAGACAGTTGTTAACTGACATACAGGTGCTAGGAATTGAACCTGGGTCCTCTGGAAGAGCAGACAATGTTCTTAACTTCTGAGCCATCTCTCCAGCCCCTCTTTTCTCTCTCTTTTTTTTTCTTCAAAGAATTAACTGTTTCATTCTGTGTATTGTTCTTTTTTTTTTTTTTTTTTTTTTTTTTTTTTTTTTTTTT